TCTAGGGTGTGATCTTTACAGAAGCACATCGCCAGGCCTTTCTTCAGTGGTGCTGCTGGGTAGGTTTGAACCACCAACCTTTTGGTTAGTAGTCAAGTACAAACGGTTTGTGCCACCCACTCAGGTCCCTTCTAGTGGTAAAGAGACCACTCAAGTCAGGGTTATAAGAGCCAGGATAGAGGTAAGAACTGAGGCAGACTGGAAAGGGGAGATGCCACTGAAAACGGCCTGGAAGAGACGGTCCGAACCTTGAGAGCCAAGAGTGGGAAGTATGAGGGAGGCAGAGCATTCCTTGCAAAGGCCCAGAGGCTGCCCTCCCAAGCACAGGTTAGTGGGCACTGGTTGTGGGCAGAGGCCTGGTGGTGCAGTGGTTAAGAGCTTGGCTGCTAACCAAAAGGTTAGCAGTTTGAATCCACCAGCTGCTCCTTGGAAACCCTATGGGGCCGTTCTACTCTGTCCTATAGGGTCGCTATGAGTCGGCATTGTCTCGACAGTAACAGGTTGTTGTCAGTTGTAGTTGAGTGTAGGGAGAGCTCCTTCTAGGCCAATCCTTTTGGGGAAGCAGAGGCCCAGTATGTGTCCTGTGGTCTACCAGGAACATGCCAGAATGCCCCTTCCTAGAGACCATGGTCATGGTGACAGCCACCATGATGTCCTCAGCACAGAACCTTAACTTCCGAGATTGGGAGAGAGTCCAAAATGCCTGCACCCCTACTCCCAGGTGGTCCCAGGTACATCGGAGTTCACAAACTAGGGGCCTCTGCAGATGGAGGATTTTTAAAAACAGTGTTTAACATTTTTTTTAAAATTAATTACCATCATTAGAATTTAGGGAGATTTCAAATAAAAGTCTACATTTCTGGCGTCTCTTGAAAAAATCACAGTATCGGTATCACTGGGCTCACGTGTTGACAGTGGACAAGAGCTAAGGAGCAGAGGTCTTTTTCAGACAAGACCTGAGCTCTCCAAATTCATCACAGCTCCTGTCCAGCCTCCTCACTCTTCTACTGCCTGGCCCCACCCTTGGTGCCCACTGAACTTTAAATGGCCCCTGCTGGTGCTGGTAAATAAAGTTCTCCAACCATTCCAGCTATAACCTCCTCTCATCTGATGAGCTCTGGGCAGCCAGTCAGGTTGGCTGGACAAGAGTTGAATTAAGGCCCGCCCTTGTTAATGGGAATGGGGTGGGGGTGGTAGAGCCAGGCTCCAGCTGGGAACTAAATGACTTGGAGAACTAGGTTTGGATCAAAGCAGGGGAAAGATTGGCTGCATGTAGGTCCAGGGCACATCATTTGCATAAGATCATTATCCAGGTAAGCCCTGTAGACTGAGTCCAAATGGTTTTCTCGCCAGCCTCTGTGAAGAAGTGACCAAGAGAGAAAGCAGAGCTCTCCAGAACTCATCTGGCTTGCCCTTCTCAGCTTCCCCATTTATTTCTCTTCTGGGAAGAGGAAGCCCACAGGTATAATTCCACAGGTGGGCAAAGTTGCTATTGGAAAATCCCTTTGCCCACCCACTCAGTGTTTGAGTGAGCATGTAGCCCAGGCTGGTATTAGTCCACAGCAGGCCGGTGGAGCCATGGGGTCCATGCTGCCCGTGGCCAACAAGGCCAGATGCCTAGCAAGGGCACCACCATCCATTTCAGCATGAATGACAGAGGTCAGACATAAGTTCCTCTATGTACCAAACATTCATTCAGCAGAAACTTATAAAGTGCCTAGTATGGACTATATATAAAACCAGCAAGGGCTTTTGGACTGTGAAGGCTTTTAAACAAAGAGTTGTGAATCATCTTTCTAAAGGAAGCCACAGCCTGCTTGGATTGTGTTAACTGCAGCCGTTCTTGGTGGTACTAGTAGGTATCAATATTTTAACAATAGTTTCCTCCAAGTATCAGTATGCCCAACTATCCTTCTTCATTTCAGGATGAAGTCAGAGTCCTTGAAGAGATGAGGCTAACTTCTACTTGGAACAACAATTCTCATTTATTGAATACTTAAATGTGCCAGGCACTGTTCTAAGTTGTTTCTTGATTTCACTTCATTCTCATAATAACTCCTTGAGGTGGGTTCTATTCTTAATCCCATTTTACAAGTGGGAAAATTGAGGCACAGTTGGTGAAGTCACTTGCTCCAGGTTGCACAGCCAGTAGGCAGGTGGTAGAGCTGAGATCAGACCCCTCAGGCAGCCTGGCACCAGAGCCTGAGTGCCTCACTTCTTTGCTGTACTGCCTCACTATGCCAGGAAATGGAAACTCTGCCTGGCAGGAGTCTAACCCCAGCAAGAAAAGATTATTACTTAGTCCACTTCCCAGTCCAATTGGCATTTCAGTTCAAATAATTGAAAATGATGGTAATAATTGTGCAAATTTACCCAACAGTTATTTCCAGGATAATGGAGATGATTTAGACTCCAAAGCTGAGGGAACAGAGATCAGCTAATCTAACCTCTAGGAGAGGGCGTTGGTGTTGTGGGTGGTAGAATTCTCACTGTCCATGTGGGAGGCCCTAATTCAATTCCCGTTCAATGGACCTCATTAGCAATCACCACCCATCTGTCAGTGGAGGCTTGTGTGTTGCTATGATGCTGAACATGTTTCAGCAGAGCTTCCGGATTAAGACAGACTAGGAAGAAAGGATCTACTTCTGAAAATCAGTCAATGAAAACCCTATGGAGCACAACATTCTGATCCACAATCGATCATGGGGACGGTGCAGGACCAGGCAGGATTTCATTCAGTCGTGCATAGGGTCTCCATGAGCCGGGGTCGACTCAATGACAGCCAAAAACAACAAATGCCTGAGGCAGGAAAAGCTGAGGGGCTTGTCCAAACTCACAGAGCTAGTTAATAAGAAAAACCAAGACCACTACCCCTCTCTTCTCCCTCCCAGCCCAGAGCTCTTTTACTGCACCATGCTTTACTGGGCCAGGATGCCAGTACTGGCCTGGAAGCCGGGACACTTGAGTCCTCACTATCTTCCCTTACCAAAGGCTGCTACGGGGCAGATGTCAATCCCCAGAGAAGTGGGTTTCCTCCTGGGGCTTGTTTGTTGTGGCATCAAGGACTCCCCCACCCAAACCTCCTTATCAAGAGTCAGGATGGGCTCCTTATCTACAGTACCCAGGCCTTGTCTACACTCTCTGGGAGGCGCACTATCATCCAAAAACAGCTGACCAAGCACAGGTCTCCCAAGCTGGCACTGTTTACCAAGTGGGGAAGCTGGGAACAGAGCAGACCAAACAATGCCTGGCCCCTCAGCACATGAAAGCCGCCTATTGCAACTTAAGCAGTTTCTGGACACAACCCCTGTACTCCCTAGCCAGGCCAAAAGGTACTCCCCACCCGCTATGAAAGTGACCAGCTCTAAACTAAATAAAACATCGCTTGATCACAGAATCCTCTCATGTAAACTGAGGGAATACTGGTCTACCAAGAGCCAAGAGGAACCCCAAGATGAATCTGTCATTCTGTGGTTCCCCTGGCTTGAAGACATAGAGGTGCGGTGAGGGTGTCCCTTCAGCCTCCAAGCAACCTTCCCTGAATTTCGGTCTTTTCACTAAACATCAAAATATCCTCTGTGAGTGGGGCCTTCTAGGACAAGAAGGTAGACGCTGACTTTGTACTGAATGCCCAAAAGAGCATAGCACACCAGGATGGGCAAAATTCCTCAATCCTAACCCTGTCCTTATATCCAAAAAGAGTAGACTTCTTATAAATGAGTTCCTAGGACATTCATGTGGAGCCCTAGTGGCACTGAGGTTAAGAGATCAACTGCTAATCAAAAGGCCAGCAGTTCAAATCCACCTTGGAAACCCTACGGGGCAGTTCTACTCTATCCTATAGGCTCGCTATGAGCCGAAATCAACTCAACAGCAACACGGAAGACATTTGTTTTAGAGGCTACAGATGAAAATGGGAACATCTCTTTAAATAACAACCTCTTGACAGAAGTGGGTCCCAGTGACAAATTCTATTTATGATACAGATGAGCTGGTCTCCCGTCTCCCCAGCTCACTTACCCTTCCCCCATACAAACATTCCACACACAGCCCCCGTGGCCTTCATCGACCCTAGCACACATAAGACAAGCTGCATGTTTGTCGATTAGGGTCAGGGATGTATGGCATGAAATGAAAGCATGGGGGCAGGGTGGGGTTCCACTGTTCAAGGGTCATCGTGCTTCAAATATAAATACAGCCCACTTCTGGCCAAGAAGTACACTTGTGACTCCAGGTGGGAACTGCTGAGCCAGCAGGTGGTGTGCAGTGGGGTGGGAAGCCTGAGTCAAAACATCATGGAAAGAATCAAGAGTTGGGGGTGGTAGAGAAAGTTCTCATTTGCTTGTGTAGATTCTATCCATAGGGTCAATGGGAGTTAAAAATCGGTAACAAACCTTTGGCTCTCAGCCAGTGTTTGCTGCCAGATCTAGACGGTCTTTGGCTAGCTTGTGGCATTCAGCCAGGGCGTAGCCCCTGAGGCCCAGGTGCTCATGGGTAATAAGATGACAACAGTGGGTAGTGAATGGCAGTCCCAGAGATGGCAAGAAAGCCTTTACCAGAAACTTCCAAGCAACCCCACCCAGGCTGGAAAGGGGTTCAGTGTCCCCTCCTCACCACCCCTGTACTATAAGAAACAGGCTGTGTTTTACTCATTTATAATATTCTCAGGGCCTTGCACTTACTGTCAACACATGCTTGTTGAATGAATGAGAATGAATGAATGAGTGAGTAAAACTGAGGCCTAGCAAGAACAAGATGCAGAAGATAGAGACCTGGCTAGACTAGGGAATGTTCAAATTAGAAGAACTGTCATTTTTAGCATTTTCACAGAGACCTGTTAGTATACGCACGGAAGGAGGGAAGTAAGGAGGTAGGTCCCAGAGAAGAGGGGATGCTTGGAAATAGCCCAGCCACACAACTTGATTTTTCTTTTACTTGAGCCACATGCTACAGGTCTTGAGTGCAACTGAAGAGAAACATAAGTCACACACACAAAAAGATTTGTTTCTGAGAGGGAAATGCAAATTAGTGATGTGGGAATTTTACCTTCTCTATACCACATAGCTTCATCAGCTACATTTTTATTAAAGTAACAAAAAAATGTACATTTGTCCATAAAGCTGCACATTCTTCCACATAAAAACACTATTATACAATTAGTAACCTTTGTCTTTTCTGTCAGAACAGCTTACGAACATACTACCATTATTTATTTTTACTTAATAAGAGAGACAGGCCTGCTCAACAGTCCAGCTGTGTGGTTCCCGGTTGTTTTTAAAGTGAACATCGAAAAGAAGAGAGAAAAGATTAAGCACGAGACCATGAGGCTGCTTCTACAAAGGCAGGGACCTGTTTGCAGACAAGAGGCAAGAACACAATCTGCAGGGATTCACAGCTTTTTTCAACCCCTAGACCAGAAAATCAGCTCTCGGGTCTGTGGGCCCAAAGTTAACTTTAAAGCAATAAGGACTGGAAGCAGGGCCTGGGAAGGCAGCGCAGAATCTGGAGATTTGAAAAGGAGGCAGAACTGGCCGGGATGGCTCTAGAGAGTGTTTGGTAAATAGCACCTTTTTGAGTCAGAACTGGGTAGTTCAGAAATCCAGGACAGGGGACTCGCAAACGTGGAGGGGAGTGTGGAGGTGGGGGCAGTAGGAAAGGAAGATTTGCCACGAAAGGGCAATAGCAGAAGAGTAGCCAAGCAGACCAGATGCTCTAGCTACGTCCTTCTTAAGGTGATTCGGTTTGGGGAACTCGAGGCCTTTTGAGAACCTCTCATCAATGTCACTGAGAAGCTGCAGGAAGGGCATTTCTTCCCAGTGTAGTTTTCCATTTTTCTCTAACCCAGAACAGTAAATATTGCACAAGTCTACAGACCAATTTGGATCATGCTGAGAGAAAGCAACCTCCTCCACAGGTGCTCTCAGCACCAGGGAGGAAAAACAGTGCCCACGGTTTGGCGTTTAGTGTCAGCCCCACAGGAGTACCAAGTAGTCGTGCCGAACCTGAGGCATTCTCCCCCTCAGCCAAGGACTACCTGCCAGGCAGACCAGCCAGCCAAAGTCCCGGGGACAGCAGGAGAGATGGTTCCCAAAGCTGGGGCACCAGGAGGCTCTGAGGGCCAGTTCTCCTCCAGACCCTCCTGGGAGCCAGGAGGCCATATTGCACAGCGACTGAGAACTTTTGTCCTAGAAAATAGCGTAGCTCCATGACCCAACCAGAAGGGGCGAGGGAGGGGAGGGTTAGAGAGAAAGACTGTTGTGCTTTTGCAAAGAAGGCAGTCGTACAGGACCTGGAGTCCCCTGTAGCTTCGGAGTCACCTCTTAAAGGGGGAATAGCAGCAGCACCAGGACTTTCATGTGGTTCCAGAAAGAAGGATTTGGGCCAAAAAACATCCCCAGAGGATACTCTTTGGGTCCCAAAATTCCATTGCAAATCATCCCCCAAATTATTCACATGCAGAGCAGCATACAGCAAAGCAAAGATTTTGTGCAGCATTCCCTTCTGGCCCCCCCCCCCCCCCATAACCTCCAACCCCAGCCTTGCTTCTCACCCCCACCCCCAAACAAACAAACAAAAGCTTTAGGCTCAAGGCTGGGAAGCAACATCTACACGCCCCTGAGGGTAGATTTAGAAACAAGTCATGACTTCCAGAAAAGCTGCTTCGGACAGAAGGAATAAGGAGAGGCCTTTTCACTCTCTGCCCAGGATCTCATTGGAAAAATAAAAGAGAAGACAGGCAACATACTATTATTTAAGTCCAGGCTTGAATGGCCCTGAGTAAGAGCAGGCCAGGTCTGCAAGTGGCCTGGGTGGGTGAGTGAGACATCTGAACCGAGCCTCTCTTCTCCCATCTAGGCAGATCCTGACCTCTCTCATTCACAGTTGCTCCCCTTGCTTGCTCCCTCTCCCACTTCACCTTGGCTGTGTCCACCCCCCAGCTACTCCCCCTCCCAAAGGCAGATACTGGCTCCCAGACTCAAGTACACAAAAGTTCTCTTCAAAGGCACCTGGGGAGGCCACTTCCAAGCAGCTCCCTTTAAGGATTTTTTTCTTTAAAAAATCTTTTGTTTTTCTCCTCTTTTCTTAAAAAAAAATAATATATATATAAATAACTCTTCATTTAAAAATAGAGTTCCCCAGGTTGAGGTATGCAGTGGCCTGTTGTCATGGCAGAATGAGTACAGTAGAGCGCCAGGGCCGGGCAGCGGGGATCTAACTGGAGACCGCCATCACATAGTTCTTTGGTGGGCTGCTCCGGCCCAGCATCATTTGGTTCTTGCAGGTGAGGAGCCCGTAGGAGGTGGCCACTGGAGCCTCCTCGTACAGGACACAGATGGAGCCGTCCTCCCCGATGCGGTAGGACACCTCGTAGGGGTCCACCCACAGGGTCAGCTCACTGGGCAGCAGCCGGTGCAGCTGGGGCTGGCTGAGTCCGATCTGGCTGGCCACCTTGCTGATGATGGGGTCCATCTTGTGGTTGATGCGGATGCAGCGGTAGCCAGAGCCCTTGGATGGCTTTTCAGGAAACCAGTGATGTTGGTAGTGCTCTGCAGAGAGGGGACAAGGAGGAGATTCTCTGGTTAGAGCAGCTGGACCATGGGTGCTACCACAGGTGGGGAAAGGGACGAAGGGAGAGGAGGAGAGAAGGGAGCCCGGTGATGTTAAGTAAGCAAGGTGGGTTCTGCTGAGCTCCAGGACCCTCCTGAAACACTCCTGCTATTCTAACAGAGAAAATCTTGTGGGAGCTAGAGAGACCTCTCCTTCCACAACAGGTGTGTGTGTGTGTGACTGTGTGTGCATGGGGAAGGGGGGAGCTCTGGGACACTCCCTAGTGGCCAGTGTATTGTTTTTGGCACCTGGTCAGTTTTAAGGAGGGAGGGGTGTGACCAGCCAGGTCTGGCATGTCCGGGCAGAGCCTCTGGAGACCTCTTCAGAGCCTCTGAAGTTTCAAGGCCACGGAGTAGGCAAACAATGGGGGGGGGGTGGTTACACAGCAAGTCACTGGTCTCTCGTTGTGCCCCAAGTGCCCCCCCACCCCCCCACCAGAAGAGTCAGGGATCCTTAGCAGTGGCTAAGGAGTAAAAACATGGGTTGTTTTGCTGAAATATCTGTCGTTCCTCAGAAGGTAGGATCTGTGTGGGCATGTTCAGAGATGGCTGTGGCTGCCAACCTCCTAGAAACAACTGCAAGATAGGTCTCTCACAGCCAGACGCCTGCTTATCTCTTGTCAACCTCCCCGCCTCACACACACCGCCTCCCAATACACACAGCCGCAGAGCGAGTTACTTGCTAAAAGGCTCGTTTGGGTACCATAATAGGTGGCAGAGCGCTAAGGGGAACCAAAAGACACAAAAGGAGCCCAGATTCCAACTTCAAGCGAGTCAACACCCCGGACTGGCCCAGGCGCCGCGCAGCACCGCACGACCCAGGAAGAACCAAGACTGGATCTCCAAGCTGTTGAAACGGCTCAGTTGCGCCGCCTTCTCCCATAAGGACCCCATCCGGCCGCGGAGCTTTATGGCCAGCAGCATCCCTCAAGGGTCTCAAGGGTCCGACGAAGGAGATGAGCCAGCACTCAGACTCGCAGGCACTCCCTCTTCGAGGGCATAAACCGGGTACTCGGGATCACATTCTGGGACAAGGGTCTGCTCCCCCGACAGCCGGGAGGGGCGCGCCCAACCGTAACCACCTCAGACCGAGATCCGAGCGCAGGTCGGAGAGGAGACGGGAGACATGACTCCGGGGGTTGGGGGCTGCGGCCGGCCCGGGGACTGAAAAAGGGAAACGGAGTTCAGGAGCTGCTTGTGTTGGGAACCCTAGGAAAGGAAAGGCACCCCAGGCAGGGAGCGGGCCGAGCCCAGGTGGCGGAGTTCGACGGGCGCAGGACCCTCGGCGCGTGCCCACCTGTTAGTGCCTCTTGGAGAGCCCCGCTGAAAACCTTAAGTCTCTGCTCGCTCACGCAGCCCCGGGTCCTCAGGAGGCTGGAGAGGAAACCTACGGCGGCTGCGATCTCCGGGAGCATGTCGGTTCTCTTCCCGGTCCAGCGGGCCTGGTTCATGTCGGGCGCAGCTCCAGGAGCAGTGGTGGCCGGGAGCGTTGAGAAGTCTCTGGGTGGGACCCGCTGCTACTCGGTAAGGCTTGAACGTTGCCACCCGTAAGGTCCCGCTCGCCTCGCCGGGGCTGGCTCTGCTGGGACTGCCCCTGGGCCGCGCCTTTCATACTGTGCGCCGACCTGGGGGGAAGCTGGAGGCGGCGCCCATTGGCCCCGCGAGCGGATGGGGGCTGGGCCGGGCACTCGCCCCGCCCCGTACGCTTCCGCGGGCCCGCCCCCAGCGCAGCCATAGCCCCCGCCTCCGCTGCCAACGCCACCTCCGCGCTGAGGTCATCGTCCGCTTACGTCAGTGCTGGGAACCCGAGCGGGGCTCGCGAGCCGAGGGAGTTGGGTGGGGAGACGGGGCGAAAGGTCTCGGAGGAGGAAAGCGACGCCCAACTTTCTCCACGCAGGGAATGTCCCGGCCTCTCCTGTCCAGCCCGCCCATCCAAACCCGGCCATTCTTCCAGTTTCAGATTAAACGCCACCTCCTCCAAGAAGCCTTCGCTGATACCACCTCTCCCCAAGCGGTCCCCTTTTTGACTACCACAGCATTTCCCAACCACACACTGTCAGAACCTCTCACTCAGACACTTCGTCACCATTTTCCCTCTTTGCCATGTTTCTTAACTAGTCAGAATGGGTTTCACTTGGCTCTTCGGAAGTAGGGACTAAGTCTTATATTTACTTCCATAATAATCCCACCTCCCCCAACAAGTTGTGCTCTTCTTCTGCAACAATTCCTTTTCTCTTGCCTAGAAACATCCAAGTCTCACCTATCTGGTAGGGTGGGAGGTGGAGGGAAGTGTTGCAAGACTTCCTTGTCCCCTCAAGCTATTTTTCTAGTTCTGTATCCTTTAAATGCAAAAATTTTGAATAAGTGGTCAGCACTCAGCTGTACACATTTTTCCATCCACTTCTCCCTCCCATGCCCCTGCAGCCCGCCTTCCTTTCTCAATGTGGATTGAAGCTGGCATGAACTTGGGCCCTTCTAGGAAGGACCCAGCCTCAGTCTTCCTCTTCCACACCCAGGGTGGAGCTCAGATGTCCCCATTCAGCAGACATCTATAACTTCCTAACCACCATGCCAGAGCCTCGCACAGGGCCTGGCATGCATAGATGGCCCATACATGTTTGTTAAATGAATCAAATCCACCCATTGCCATCGAGTCAATTCCAACTCATAGCGACCCTATAGGACAGAGTAGAACTGCCCCATAGGGGTTTCCAAGGGGCGACTGGTGGATTCAAACCACCAACCTTTAGGTTAGCAGCTGTAGCTCTTAACCACTATGCCACCAGGATTTCCAATGGCCTCTAAATTCTCATCTTCCTTGAACTCTGGGCAGCAGTGTCTGGAAGCAGTCTCCCTCTCCGTTTCCTTGACATCGTGCTGCGGGCTTCTCTGCCTCTCTCCCTGGCTGTGCCTCCCCTGGCTCCCTTCCTGCCTCTGTCCCCTCACTGTGAGTATTCAGTCCTCTCCCTTTTCTCTCCCCTTTCTCTTCTCAGAAAGATCCTATTCACGTTGTCCATTTTGATTTTTACTTTTTAACACTTGACTTTCACATATGCATAGTCTGTCCTTGTGTCCTTTCGTCTGTCTCCTCCCACCACCTACTCTGTTCCTCCCCTTGAATGACCAGCCACCAACTCAAGGTCAGCCTAAGCTCCCTGTCCTCTTCAAGCCAGCTCCTCTCCTGGTCTCTGTTTCTCAGAGATTCCATCACTTTCCCTGTCACTCCAGCCAGAAAATGTAGCCTCACTTTTGGCTTCTCCTTGAACTTTGCTCCTCAGATCAGTCCCAAGACCAATTACTTCTCCACGGCTAGGTGATCTCAGTGGACTCTGTCTAATCGCAGCCGCAAACCACCCCTCCCAGATTCCCTTCCTAAAGGATGGAGTTTATTTGCTCTTCTCTTGCTCAGGCCATTCAGAGACCCCCTCCCCCCGCCCCATTTGTCTACTGGATTAAGTATGGACTTCTTTGCTTGATAGTTAAGGCCCTTCATACTTTGGGCCCACCTACAAGCTGGACAATGAATAAGGAAGACTGAAAAAGAATTGACACCATTGAATTATGGTGTTGGTGAAGAATATTGAATATACCACGGACTGCCAAAAGATTGAACAAATCTGTCTTGGAAGAAGTACAGCCAGAATGCTCCTTAGAAGTGAGGGTGTCGAGACTTCGTCTCACATACTTTGGACGTTATCAGGCTGTAATCTTTACAGAAGCAGACTGCCACATCTTTCTTCCGAGGAGCTGCTGGTGGGTTGGAATGGAACCACCAACCTTTTGGTCCGCAGCTGAGCACTTAACCCCTGCGTCACCAGGGTCTATCTATAAAGATTACAGCCTTGGAAACCCTGTGAGGCAGTTCTACTCTGTCCTTCAGGGTCGCTATGAGTCAGAATCAACTCAATGGCAATAGAGCCTTTACAGGTTTCTGCCACCTTGTGAAGCTTTGCTCCAGAGAGTCACTCTCCTCGGTCTCCTCTAAATATCACAGCAGCTCTGCAGCCCAGAACTCTCAACAACCTGCCTGCTATCCCCATCCGTGCCCTGTAACAGGGTCCCCATTCCATGCATGCCCCAACTTCCCTGACTTTACATTGTGGCGCATGACCTTATCGCCTGGACAGTTCACTGCCTCCTTCCCATCTCTCTCAATCCCCCAGTCCCTAAGGGCACAGCTTAAACTTGGCCTTCTACCTTGAAAGCCTGGGCTAAGCATTCTTTCACTGCTGAATTAATATTATCCACACTGGTGGTGCAGTGCTTATAAGATATGGCTGCTAACCAAAAGGTTGGCAGTTCGAATCCACCAGCCACTCTTTGGAAACCCTGTGGGGCAGTTCTACTCTGTCCTACAGGGTTGCTGAGTTGGAATGGACTCGAAAGCAATAGGTTTTGTTTTTGTTTCTGTTTTTTTGATATACTATTCATGTGGCATTAATAATCTGTTGTTTGGTACTGTCAGTGATCTTTGTAGAGGTTGAGATCGTGTCTCAACAACAGTTTGTAAGATGCTTAAGAATGGGTTGCCAGTTGTCGTCAAGTTGATTCCAACTTGTGGTGACCCATATGCTGCAAAGTAGAACTGTGCTCTATAGGGTTTTCAATGGCTCTTATCTTTCAGAAGCAGATCACCAGAACTTTCTTCCAAGGTGCCTCTGGGTGGGTTCAAACCATCAAACTTTCAGTTAGTAGTTGAGTGCTTAACCCTTTGCACCACCCAGGGACCTTAAGAACAGGTTACTATGCTAATATGTCCTACATTACTAAGACAGTTCAGATTCATATATTCTGCTCCACTGCTTCATATAACTCATCAAAATGCCCTGAAATTCTAATATTTTGACATTAAACACATCTCACAGTTGGCTTCTTCACTAGCTCCTCCCCAGAAGCTGGATCAGGCCAGATGACACTCTTACCTTTACCCATTGAGGTGAACAAGATTTGTTACAGGAAATAGGGCCGAGACTGGAAACAAGATAACCTAGAGATGGAGCAGACCAAAGAGACCAGGTGTCAGCAAAATCAGGATTGACCAAGGTCAACCACTAAGAGAGTCAGAGAAGTGGATCAAGGTATAGGCAGGTGTTATGGACTGAATTATGGCCTCGCAATATGTGTTGGAATATTAACCCCTATATCTGTGACTTATCTAATGCAGTGTAGTCACCCTCCATAATGCAATACAATGTAACATAACCCATCAAGTAATCAGTTGAGGTCATATCAGTGTAGGATAGATTCTAAACTTAATCACTTTTGAGTTATATAAAAAGCAGCATACACACTCAGGCAAAGATAGGGGAAGACAGATGCCATGTGAGGATTGTGTATAAGACAAGGAACCAAGGAACACCCAAGACTACCCACAAGGAAGGAATCAACATGGCCGAGACCCTGATTTGAACTTCCAGCCTCCTGAACTGTGCAGAAATAAATTTCTGTTCTTTAAAAGCCACTCACGTGTGTTATTTCTGTTACAGCAGCACGGGGGAACTAAGACAGCAGGCGTATAGGATCTCTCAGCACCTAAATCTGAAAAAACTTAACATCTTCCTCGATATGCCTCTGACAAGTGCCTGATGTTCTGGGCCTGATATCACCTACAACTAGAATTGATGGAAAAAATCTTTTGACAGACCGTCACCTGCTGTTTGCCTTAGAAAATATCATTCTATCCTTAGGTCCGTTTTTGTATCACTCATCAAGTGCCACAGCTAGTTCTCAACAGAGCCAGCAAGGGGACTGATCTGCTGAAATCATATGTGGTGCCTTTCCCATTAGACTATAGACTTCCTGTGCTGTTGTTACCATGGGCCATGGGCCACAAGCTGTTATTCCAGACGATGATGCCATGACAAAAAGCATTTGCCGCGACAGGAGCAGGGAGGCCTTATTACACAGGGTCTGTCTTAGCCTCATCCTTGGGGTTAGTTCCTGAACTTTGGGTGAGGCATAGATAATCCACAAGAAGCAGAAGGTAGTTCCTCTGCTTTCTCATCCTGTTTACTCTCTACACACAGCCTAGGGAAAGGAAGCTTAATTCACCCCATATTGTCATTGTTAACTGCCGTCAAGTTAATTCTGACTCATGGCATCCTCACGTGTGCAGAGCAGAACTGCTCCATAGTGTTTTCAGGCCATGACCTTTCAGAAGCAGATCACCAGGCTTGTCTTCCAAGTTGCCTTTGAGTGGGTTCTAACTGCAAACCTCTGGAACTCCTTACCCCATATTAAAAGTTCCCAAGTCTTAAATCAGGGGTGGAAAGGAGGAGTGTGCTGTCACAGTATAGGGAAAGCAATTAGGGTCACATAACAATGTATGTATAAATTTTTGTATGAGAGACTAACTTGA